AGCTAAAATTGGACCCTGAGCAGTACGTAATATACGAAATTAGCTTGCATCAATTGCCACACCTTGTAACCCCCCCCCCCCCCCTCCCAAAAAAAAAGGCAGATATGCTAACCAACTGAAATGCTTAAAGTATGCGGAGACTAGAGAATGAAATGTATCAAATGATATTTTGAGTGCACTCGATAAGGTTTTTTATGTTGGTCAATAAATGGAAATTGTGCTCTCTATATCATTATATAGGCGCAATTGCGTTTTATATTTCTCTATAGCTCTTGTTATCGATAAGTTCTGGCGAAAAAATCACAAAAATATTTAAGCAAATAAAGAAGCTTCTACCGAGTATCATAAAACAAACCAAACAGGAACTCTGCAATATCGACAGATAATATTGAAATAAAAAAGAATTTTCGATTTGATTTTGCAACTTGAAATCTGTCCGAGTCGGACATATATAGAGTCATATGAATATATAGATAAATTTTTCTCCTTTTTTTGGGGGATTTGAAAAGTGAAAACGTGCTGGGACAGCGGCTGCCAGCGACCACCAATTAAATGTCATTTATCAGCAAAACAGAAAAAAAGAGTCTAAAGTTTAGATAGCCTTCTGATTTATAGCCCTGCGATAAGCCGAGCTGAGCGCAAGGGTTGCGACGGGCTGCCCAGACCCAGGGGCAGGGGCGAGGGGCGGGGGCTGGCAGCCGTTTAGCAGAGGTCTAACAGTCATTGCATTGGCATTGGCATTTGCCCAGGCGTTGCCTGATTGATTTGTAGTGTGTAAAAAAATAAATAAACTATATGTAATTTGTAATTGCGCTGGGCTTATTTGCAATCGTTTCGAGACGCTTCAAAGCGCATTCACCGACAGCAGCAACTGTTGCCGATAGCACACGCCAGCAACTGCAACTGTTGCTCGCCACCGCATGGATTTTGTTTGAGTACGCAATCCCCATCTAATGCCGCCTGGAGTGGAGCTGCACGAGTGGAGCTTAGGCCGGGGATTGGGAAACTGAGACGTTGAGACCCACTCGAGCGGCTCTCCATATGCCGCATTCTTAATCTGATACGAAATCGAAATCGAAATCTCAACGAATTCGTAAATCATGCATCAGGTTTTTTGTTCGGCTGCCGGTGACCAAATCATGGCCCTAATCTATCTACCCGAACTTTATGGCACCCACTTTTGGCCATATCGGGAACCAAGCTCTATATTTATTATATTGTGCGCTATTTTATTCGCTGCGCGTTTCGTCGAATCTTTTTTTTTTTTTTTTTTGTATTATTCGCTTTCATATTTGCCGAAAGGCAGCTATTTTATAATATTGTACTACGTCCAGTATTTATATTGACTTTGCGGCCCCCAACTACTGTTCTTTCGCACTTTTGATCGATTGGCTCTGCCCGGCAATCGATATCGTTATTGTACCTTGGTTCCAAACGTTGTAAATTATGCATCGATCGAGTGGCAAAAAGAAATCTAATGAAAATGTACTTAAAATTAATATACGAAATCATAAGTTAGTCATTGTCTTTTTTTTTTAAAGCAGAATTGTACAACATTTAAATTTGTTTCCTTTTCATCTCTATATATAAAACTGTTGGTCCTGACTGACTTATTGACTGACTGATTGTTTATCAACGCACAGCCCAAACCGTAAGAGCTAGGACGCTGAAATTTTCACTGTAGTTACCATATGTGATGAAGGTGCACGTTAAGACATGGTATCGGGAAATTCCACTCGCCTGTGTGGAAAAGTCGAGAAAAACCATTGTATGAAACTCTTTTGTTTTCCATCCGGTCGAGCTCAAACTCCTTTCAGAAGATCTTTATTCAAATTCATTTTAATTGTGTTTCACACTTTTTAGAAAATCCATCGCTCCTTGGTATATACACACGCATACATATGTTCATACATGCATACATACATACATACATGCATACATACATACATACATACATACATACATACATACATACATACATACATACATACATACATACATACATACATACATACATAAATACATACATACATACATACATACATACATTCATACATTCATACATACATACATACATACACACATACATACATACATACATACATGCATACATGCATACATACATACATACATACATACATACATACATACATACATACATACACACATACATACATACATACATACATACATACATACATACATACATACATACATACATACATACATACATACATACATACATACATACATGCACACATACAAACAGAAAACAAAAAAATACTACTTTACTAGCTAAGCATGAAAAACTGCAGAGCCTACTTGAATTCTTGAGAATCGAGGAGGAGAGCACTCGGTAGAAATTCGTTTTATTTAAATTTGCAGCACAGCGGCAAATAAGCTTGACTGATTTTTTCACATTTTAGCATAAGTTTCAAAATAGTCAACATACAACAAATTGATTGCATAAAATATTTAAAGAATTATACAAAATATTATAATAGAAATTTGCATAGCCTATTTTCATACATTTTTATTCCGCCTGTCGAACAATTGTCAAAAAGTTAGAAAAACGTCGAAATTAGAAATTAGATTACAGCACATTTGAAATAATTATCACCCACTAAACAAAGTCGGGGCAGAACAATGATAATCCTGCCATAAGCGCATCAATTGATATGGAGGGGGCGCGATACACAATGGTGAGGGCGTGGCTGGGGCTGGGGTAGGGGTAGGGGTGCATAAACAGGATAACAATGATTTCAATTACCATGCAGTGTCGAATAATTATTTTACCTTTTTTTTTTGTTGGGCACAAGTGCGTGGATATTGCGTGAATATTGCTCCCGGGCGTATAAAAACAGATGAGCAGTGCGAAGGGTGGGTCGAGACTGTGCCCAGGATGCGAGGTCCTGCACCCAGTGTGGGCTGCGGGGAGGAGGGGAGAGGGGGGGGTCGAACGACGGCTATGTCTAATGTGCACAAATTTATGACTTTACTAGCGAGTGTACCAAGGGTTCGCAACATGGAACTGAGGGCGGGGTTGGCTCGTGGGCGGTTTGTTGTTGTTGTTGTCGTAGTTGTTGCTGCTGCGTGTCGTCTGTTTACATTGTCAGCCTCCAGGCTGGAGCAACAGCAACAGCCACCCTGTGGACACATGCTTAAGCTCATTATTATCATTTAAACAAGTCGGCCTACGTGAGCCACAGCCAGAGCCACTTGTCTCCGGGGTTGATTTTTGGCCAACGCACTTGCCGGCAATTTTCTGCGTTAAACGTTTCCCCATTTCTCGCATTCAATACTTAAAACTCGGAAAAATTGAGTACTACTCTGTCTCTGCCTCCCTCTCCCTCTCTCTCTCTCTCTCTCTCTCTCTCTCTCTCTCCTGTCCAGGTCCATAGCTGGTGGCCGTGTGGCTCCTGCTGGTGGTTGTGTGCAGGTCTTGTGGGTGCTTGGGGTGCCGTGTTGCCGGGCTGCTGGGTGGTCAGAATGGGCGCGAAAATGTTAATGCTCCCGGGACAATTGTGTGCATAATTAGAATAAAGGGTTTGCAATTGACATTTACTGTAATGGCGATGATTAAAATTTGCCTGGTTTATGTACAGCTGGGTTCAGGTTTCTTTTTATATGATTCTTTTTTTTTAATTTTTTTTTTTGCGCTAGAATTATCATGTATTAAGAGGCTATCCACAAGAAACTGCTGAGAATTGTCGAATGAAAAGATCATAAAATGAATATATGTAGACTTGAATTCAAATATTTAAATAATCCATAAAGCCTAATCTGAAATAGTTTTGATAGTTTTGGTGCTAGGTGTAATTCTAATCAAGTTTCAAGTCTAAAAAGCTCTTCAATATATTAATTTTAAAAAATTTTAAAAGTTTACCAAACGAACATGAAACAATTTGGAACGAAAAGTTAAAGACGATATATATGTGGGGCACCTTACATTTTATATTAACTATTAGTTAATTAAAAAATGCTGAAATGTAATCAAATTAATAAATACTATATAAAGGATTTTAATTATAGTTTTAGTTACAAAACAGTTTTTAAATGAAATAAAATTACTGAAACAATTTTTAATTAATATTTAATTAGAGAATTATTTCATACAAATATAAGAAAATTCTCGTTTTATATTTTTAGAAAGAATTTAAAATACCAAAATATGTTAAAAAAAACTAATGCAACCCAAATGTTATTATTCTGTTATCTTCACACTGTTAATAGCATATATATTCAGCAGAGCTGTTGAAATAGTAGAAAATTTGCGAGGATAAATTAAATTAGCAAAAGCGCAAAAATACTAGTTTTAGAGAATGTTCATTCAAGAAAACTAAAAAAAATTAAGTTTTTGGAGAGATCACGTATTCAAATATTATACAGATACATGCATCAAATATTTCACCTCTCAGAACTCCAGCTATTCTTTAGAGTTTCCGGCTAGCTCTGGCAAGTGTTGTGCGATTCTGTTTAATTTCGAGAGCCTTCGGTACGGAATGTTTTGTTAAGTGTTGCCCTGTGAAGCACTTAAAAACATGGCAAAACTGAGCGAACGGAACAATAAGCGCAACAACAAAGGCGCTGCAATAAAAACACTTGACACTCTGACGCCAGAAGGCCACCCCCCAAAAAATAATGGAAACGGTTCGGGGATATAGTATCTGAGTAGCTGCAAATGTATCTGTATCTGACGGATGCGTGCTTGCAATTTTCGCGTGGGTTTTGTTTATATTTATTTGGCTTTGCGTTTGCCGCCTCACTGGCTGTGCCACAATCAAAGCCGCATCATCAAAATCGCCCCCTTCTACCGTCAACCCCCCCACCCCATCTCCGAGAAACCCCTGTGCCTACGCAGTCAGTTTTATCTGCGTGGCGAATTAGAATGTTGTCAAATTGTTATTCTTTTGTTGCGATGCGTATTCATTCATTCGATTCGGATTCGCTCAAGCCCCTGGCTATGCGGCCCCTGCCCCTGCCCCTGCCATGGGCCTTACCCCTTTCCTTTGCGCCTGCGTCAACCCACGAGTGTCGCCAGTCGCCAGTCGCCGGGCGTCGTCGTCGTCTCAATCCTCAATATGTCCGCCTGTTTGTGTGTTTTCTGTTTTGTCATGCTCCATTTAGCCGAGTGCGGACCGAACAGATGTTCTATTTAAACGCACATTATTATTATTCCATTTCGACAGGCGAATCTGAGGCTGCCGTGCGTCTCTTGTGCGCACCACACAAAATTGTCCGCAAACGTTTTCGTATAACAGAAGCAAGAGTCTGAAAAATGTCAAATTAAATTTTACTATTATTTTTTTAGCCTGTTTAAATGAGTTAAAGACTAGTGAATGATATTATCCTTTGTGGAAAATTAAACATTTTTTTGTTTTTTTGATTAGTGAGATCTTTCGGACTCAAAGGATAATCATCATTTGTGTCTTTTTCTTAAATATTTTATCCTTAAGTATATCATATATAGTGTTAGATTTCTATAGACAGGCAACTTTTACTTGTTTTGAAAATAATATCAAACCATATATAGAATGTTTGTGGTGCAAAAATAACTTGTAATATAAGGTTAATATTGTCTGTCGATTATAAAAATAATCAGAAAATGCTTACAAATTTACAACTATCGAAAAGAATTGCAATAAATCTGCAGCTGTTATGAATGAGAAAGGACTTCCTTTGTATTTTGTCAACTCTGCTCTGATTCCACCAAAATCGAGTTCGATTTGTTTTAATTTGTCGGGTGGCACGCACCCTGGGCGTTATAGTACACTGGGTGACACAGTCGCTCTCGACCAACACGATTGTTGATGATGAGGACGCGTTGATGTCAAATGCGGAACGGGAAGGCATTGGTAATATCGTCGTATGCTGCTCCTGCTCCTGCTCCCGTGCTCTGCTCTGCTCTGCTGTGCGCTTGATTAGGGTGAATTAATGGTCATGTAAGGTGGATTAGGCGATTGAATACGAAAATAATTACATTTGAAATTCGATATGCTGCCAACTGTCAGCGGATGTGTGTGTGTGTGTGTGTGTGCTTGTGTGTAATACAGGTGCATATGTGTGTGTGTGTGTGTGATTGATGATGTGCTGCTCTGTGCTCTGATTTCGCTAATAGCTCACTTCCCTTCCCTCTCTCTCACTCTCTTTTCATATAGATGCAGCGCACCCCTTTAGCATAAGCAGATTGGTCAAGACTGAACACCTGACGGCAATTGTGGCAGCCGCAGGCCTGAAGCCACCGCCGCTGTCGGCGCACAGCGTCGCCCTGGCGGAGGACAACAACAATTCCATCTCGATGCTGAGCAAGAACCAACAGCAACAGCAGCAGCAGCAGCAACTGCAGCGTCCTAAGCTGCTGCCCTATCTGAGCGCCAGCGAGCAGCTGCGGCAGTCGCGCTCCCGATCGAGATCACGATCGCGCAGCGCCTCGCACTGCTCCTCGCAGATCGACATGGACGATGCGGACAGCAGTCACGAGCGCTACTCGCGGCATTCGCGCCGTTCACTGCACTCCCGTTCCCGCTCCCGCTCCCGATCCCGATCACATTCGAGCAGCTCTTCCGTGGAGCTGGAGGTGGACTCGCCGCCCGGCAGTCCCAGCATGAGTTCGCCCAGTGCCGCCTCCGTTTCCGCCTCCGAGCTGCTTATCACGGCCAACAGCAACAGCAGCGCCAAGAAATCCGATTTGTTCTCCGTCTCCGCGCTGCTGCGTCGCGACGAGCCGGCAACGCGACGCGCACGTAGCCCGCCACTTGGCCTGGTTGGCGCCTCGACCGCAGCGCTGGCGCTGCCCAATCCGCTGGAGGCCATGCGCCAGAGCTACCCGCCCAACTACGATGCGGCCATGTTCCAGCGCCCCATCTTCTCCCCGGCGCTGCCCTTCTTTGCCGCCATTGCCTTTCATCAGGGACAGCAGCAGCAGCAGCAACAGCAATCCGGACTAGTCGCGAGGTAAGCTCCATTTAAAATACCTAAAAGTAAATTGCAAAATATTTAAAAATATTTTGTATTAATAAATAGAAACAAAAGGTTTGAAATGTTCTAAGAAAATGTTAAATAGACCTTTTTTAATTTCTCAAAATCAAATAATTCATATAGAATATATTTTAAGTTTTTCTTCTTTAAAGTCATATGCATATGTGAAAGAAACATTTAAAAGTAAATTTCAAAATATTTTGTAATAATAAATAAAAACAAAATGTTTGAAATGTTCTCAGTAAATGTTAAATAGAGCTTTTTTTGATTTCTTCTAATCAAATAATTTATATTATATTTTTTCCACACTTAAAGATTTTTTTTTTTAAAGTCACATGCATTTCTCTCAGTGTACTTACTTGACTTTACACTCTGTCCTTATTAAGTTGCCTTAATTAAGTGCGTACTTAGGCTAATTCTCTCTTTCTCTCTGTCTCTCTTGCTTGCTCTCGCTTGTGCAGCTACCATCCGGACTCACAGGAAAATCTCTTCCGACTGCGCAGCCTGATGGTGCCACTCCAGTCAGCTGGCCAGAATGGCTCCACTGCGGCTGCCGCGGCGGCAGCGGCAGCGGCAGCCGTTGGTGTGGGCGTTGGCGTAGGCGTGCCACCCGGCGGCGGGCATTTGGGTCTGCCGCATCAGCCGCATCTGCACTTCCATCACATGGCCGCCAAGTGGCCGGGCCTGCATCAATTTAGCGACCTGTACTCGTGCATGAAGTGCGAGAAAATGTTCTCCACGCCGCACGGACTCGAGGTGCACTCGCGCCGCACCCACCACGGCAAGAAGCCCTACGCCTGCGAGCTGTGCAACAAGACCTTTGGCCATGAGGTCAGCCTTAGCCAGCACAGGTATGTTAAGCATTCGGCCACAAGCATTTGGCCAGGTTCAGTCCGAAGTCCCGCCTCACACTCTGACCACGCCCCTCATTGGGGAGGGAGGAGGGCGGGGGGGCACTTTGCATGCTTAATGAGTGGCCGGGCCAGGGACAGTTTTGCGTTACTTAATTTAGCTGAAATGTTGGATTTAGCCTGGCCAAATGTTTGCTTTGCGGTTGTATTTAGCATTCAGCAGCCGCTCCAGGGAATTCGAGCTTGGCTTTAATTACACCAAATAGCCGCCAGCATGTTATGGTGCATGTCGTTTAACGGTTCCTCTATTTCCACACAGGGCGGTGCACAACGTGGAAAAGGTCTTCGAGTGCAAACAGTGCGGCAAACGCTTCAAGCGCTCCAGCACCCTCTCCACCCATCTGCTCATCCACAGCGACACGAGGCCTTATCCCTGCAGCTACTGCGGCAAGCGATTCCATCAAAAGAGTGATATGAAGAAGCACACCTACATCCACACGGGTAAGTTACTTGTAATCCTAACTAAAATATCTGCATAGCTGGGTCTTAAATACAGGAAAAGCATAACTGCTTTGCAACCCCGGGAATAGAAAATTGTTTAAAGAGTTTAAGGGATCTTGAAGGTTGCGAAAGTTCAATTATTATGACACTTTATGGATCTGTCTGTAGAATATAGAGTTTGCTTCATGATAGGTATAATAATAATGATAGGTATATTAAAATACATAGAAATTAAATATTATACGTGTATTGATACTTCCATATACATAGATGAATATATAACCATCTAAATACAATGCATATTGCCATCTGCATTATTGGTAGAAAAAAACCGAGAACGATCAAAGCAGATTGTTTAAGAGAGATCAAATCAATAAGAATACCTTGTATATCTTATTGTGCTTTTTTTTACTATTTGGACATTTGACATAAATAAAATGCTTAATACATTTTAAAATTTTGGAAGTACACCAATGGGTTTCAGAAAATAGACAGTCTTGTATAATAATATTAATAAATCTTACAAATTCGTAATTGATATTTATAGATGAATAATATTGAATATGGATCAGTATTATAAATAGTGTTGATCTACCTCCCTATTACCATAATGTTATGGTAATCAGCTTTAATAAGCTTTAATTTTCTTGAATATGTATTTTAGTTAGTTGATGGTTTTTCCAGTAGAAATTTTTTTATATGTAGATACCTTATCGTTACTGTCACTGCATAGATTTCTACATGAATATGTGCACACATCTATACACATACACATATGCAATTGTGTATTGTACAAAAATGCATATATGTACTTACATACATACATACATATAAAGACAAGATATTTGCAATTTTTGGAGAATGGCGGCGATAAACCCAAATGGCGAAAATGGGACCCGGAAACGGGCGCCATTAAAGCGTCGAACCAACCGCCAGCTAAAGCCACAGTCGCAGTTCCAATTACAGTTACAGTTACAGTTACAGTTGCCAGTTGACAGAACGGCGAGTTTATAGGGTAACGAGCGAAGAGGGGGTGCAAGGGAATTGGGTACTGCAAAAATGAAGCTGACGACGGCGATAGGAAAGCGCAGAAACAGCTGAAAAGAGCGCCAACTATAAGAGCGCTTACTCTCCGAAAATAGCAAGAGAGAGAGCACCCAACACACATACACACACACACACTCACGCTCAGACACAGAGAAATATATACAATGGTAAAATGTAACTGATAAGAGGCAGCAGTGAGGACCAGCATTGACGTCGCGCTATGTACAAAGCTTGGGAGAAGCATTGGAAAGACAACGACACATACAATACACAGCACACACACACACACACAGCCAGATCTAGACTACGCCTTGAAGCGCGAAAGAGAGCGAGCGAGTGTGCCAGCGACAAGCGACGCGGGCAGAGAAATCACAGCCGACCAATGAAAAATTTAGTCAAGAGATTTTGATTTTCTGTTTTATACGCGCGCACACACACGAATACACAAATACGACGCACACATTGACACATGCACTTGCCGACACAGCGCCTGTGAGACTGTGTGCGTGCATGTATTTGCGTCTGTGTGTGCGCTGCGCATACACCCCTATATAACTATAACAACAAAGCTCTGCCCGAAAACGTAGCAACTGCGCTGCCGCCGCGACGCGCACTCTTGCGCCGCCATTACGCCCAGAGCCTCAAAGCGTATGCAACGAGCTTCATAGTTTTTGCTCTTGCTCATGGAAGTCTAATCTCTCTAGGTAGCAGACCTCGGCTGATTATATATGGCCACCATCTCTATTTAAAGCAAAAATTATTCAGTGCATGAGTAAATACGAAGAAATGAACTTTGGAACTTTGGAAAATATGATATGGCATATAATAATAAATCTAATAAATAGATTAGCACTTAACTTTTCTTAGAGTATTCATTAGCATTCTATAATAATAATTCTGTTAAATAATATTGCATTTTTCATAAATTTGGTCAATCTACTTTTCTAAAGAAACAAAGCTTCTTTCCAACATCATTTTTTTATTTTTTCGAAAGCTTTTGAAACTATTGAACGATAAGGATATTTAAATTACCAGCACAAGAATTACTTAAAGACAAGCATTTCCCTCATCTTCCAAGGCCGACTTGCCATCTTTCCTTTGCACCATTTGTGAATTTCATGATAACAATATTTTTTGCCCTCAAATCAGTTTGCAAATTGCAAGGATAATAACCTTCTAATAAGCAGCGCCACGCTCAGCCATCACCCATCTGGCCACACCCATCAACCCCGTCGCCCAATTTGCAGCCCCCGTTTTTAGCGAGCGTCGTCTGGCCAAATCAGTGGAAGGCGACTCCGCACACATACAGACGCAAATATTTCAGACATTTTTATCGTTTGGCGTCTTCGATTTAAGACGTGTGCCCCACACAGCTCTCACAACCCCTACAACAACGCACCCCCCTTTTGCTCGCCGTTCCCCCCGCCCATTCCCAGTCTGATTCGTGTTGCTTTCACTGTTGAGGCGCACACATGGGGCAAGGTATATGATAACGGATCCTGAATGTCTCGGGATTTGCTTCAGTCTTTGGCTTTTCCCTGGCTTAGTTTTCTTTCTTGTTTCGCTGTCCGATTACTGTGCGTGCTTCTGCTGCTTCGCTTTACGACCATCCTTAATTTTTCTCCATTTTTTTCCTATTACTCAGTTTGTTTTTTTTTCCCCCGATTGTTTCATGTTCGGGCGACGTGTTTCTATTGCTAGCAATAAGCGGGCCAGCAGATTTTTTCCACATTGATGTGATTTGCCTCAACATTTCCGTCTGTTGTTTTCCATTTCCACATTCACGTTTGGCTACGTTTTTATAACCTTTTTGTGTTTGGCTCGCATTTCCATTTTTTATTTTCCTGCCTCAGATTTTCGTTTGTAAATTTATGCGCAATAAAAGCGGATCAAATAAATTTTCTATATTCGTGTGTGTGTGTGTATTTGTTAACTTATTTACTTATTCATTTCGATCTGAAACTCTAAATTCTTTTTCACCTTTGGCTCTGTCAAGGCTGGTAAGCAAATCGATAACTTAAAGCTGGGAAATTTTAAAGAAACTTGCCACAAAATGTAACACAATGAACCACATCGCAATATGAATGAATTTTGTAGCTGCTTATTCAAACTTAATTAGTTTGGACTTTTATAAAATAGTTTTACTTTTATAGTATAAATTTTAGATATTTGTTTATTTTTTTGTTTCTTGAAAAATTAATTTTTCGCTAAGGACTTCATTAATTTGTTTGCCGCCTTTATATATATATATATATTATAGCATCAAATTTTCTAATTAAAGATATTAACTTGTACTGAAGCAAACCCTTTTTTTATAAAAAACATCGACACTTTCTTTAAATATCTTCAAAAAACTTTTGACTAAACAAAATTAAATCTATTCGCTACATTTCAATCTATTATTTCATTTAATTTCATTTGATTCAAGCTCGCTTGAAATACATAACACATAAAACGCAAATCAAATCTCAACGCATTCCAAAAATATAAAATCTGATTCTATGCGTTGCGTTTAAGACGGAAAATCATTTTATTTTATATTATTTTTGTCTGCGTGGCTTACGCTGCGTATGCGTTATTTTGTTAGAGTTCACGAAAAGAAACAGCAAATTTTAAAAGGCAAAGCAAAGCGAAATATAAAACGTGTTGAATTGAAAGGATTTGCCAAGCATCCTTCTAAGACAGAAACACACACACACACAGGCACACACACACACGCACACGCAGACAGTTAGACAGACATAAAATATTAGAAGAGTAAAAGAAAAAGCAGCGCAGAAGCAAGCAAAGATTTAAAAGAATTTCCACAATGTGATGCAATAAAAATCCTTGAAATCTGTACATACAAAAACTGGCGCCCCCTAACCCAACCCCGCTGTCCCGCTGCCCCGCCGCCCCCCTTCCACAGCCCAATTTTCCATACGCCCCCAAACTCTCAGCAGCAGAAGGCCTGGGCTATGTATGCCCTCAGCTTGGGCACGGAGCGTGTTAGTTAGAGCAGCCAGGCAGCTCGAACCAGAGTTACCCTCCCCCAGAGTAACCCCCCCCCCACTCGCCCCCTTGGCATGTGGCAGCTCTGAGAAACAGCAGCTCCCACATTGGCAACAGCCGACGGCCGACGGCCGACGGGATTTGGATTTGGGTCTCGTTAGTGTTCGTTGCTCGTTTGCCGTGATAAATAATAAAAGCTGCTCTATAATCTCTGCGACTACGTGACGTTATTTGTGCCGATAGTGCACGAACGTGCCCCGAGCGCCCAACTGTTCCGCCAGCCTCTGAACCAGAAACCCTTCAGCCCAAGCTCTTTTCGCAGGGCATGCTCCGTGAGGACGTCCATGCCGATGAGCAGTCGTCGCAGCCGAGAGCTACTACAGCATGACTACTCAATTTTTTACTGCTGCCACAGCTGCTCCTGCTGCTGCTTCTGCTGCTGCTGCTGCTGCTCCTTAAGCACAAGCAGCATTTTCGACTCCTGCCGCGGGAGCTAAAGTTGAATCAGAGCACATCCCAACGGTCGAATGTTTCAGAATCACGTCGCTGCAATTCCATTATATACTTACAGCGACTGCCACTTCTCATCTATACATATATATCCACATATATATATACCATGGTATATTAAATGTGTTTGTGTGTTGGTGTTGGTGTTCTATGTATGTGTGCGCGCGTGTGTTTACTTTATATACATTGTTCTGTTTTGCCATGCCCAAGTCGCAGCCCCTCGCAAATTTAACTCAAGTTAGCATTTTGTCGTTATTTTGTAGTCAAAGTATATGTGTGTCTGTCTGTGTGTGTGTGTGTGTATATCTGGGCATATATGTAGTGCTGTCTGGAGCACTATCTCTGCTGGCCAAAGTTTATAGGTTCCATAGATAAGCGCACATTTTTGTGTGGAGCCATCATAAAAATAAAAATACAAAAAATAGACAAACTGGTCAAATTATATGAGCAGACTGTGGACAGTCAGCTATTTGCCATATGTACTGATTTCTAGTAGAGAAATCATATAGATACACTGAGAGAAAAGAAAAACAGTTTCATATATACCAACATATGTTAAAGTCTAATATTTTCCAAATTATTTCCCAATATCTAACAACAAATTATTTTTTGAAGTAATCGACGTTATTTAAAAACAAGTCTTCATCATATAAATACTTAATTGAATATTTTGTTATTTCTCCCAGTGTAGTTTTTAGATATGAAAGAAGTATAGATATACTATTTAGTACGGATATAACTTCCGAATTTCCAAATGATTATTTTTATTTTATTTTCTCTTAGATAAATAAGTTTTTATATAAAAAATTATAAAATGATTCGTGGGTTCGGTTCACGGAACTAACTGCCTACATTTAGGTTATGTTAGTGGAATCAGTCTACGAAATGTTCGAGGAGTCGGAATATAAAATATCTTTATTTAAGTACAACGCATATATAATTGCAATGAATATCTCAACATATGTGTAGCTCATTATATAAAAATATCTTCTCTACGCAATCGACTTTGATTACTGCGAATCAAATGTGAAATGAAATTTTTTGACGCCGACGAGAAAAATAAAACACCTCAATTAGGGTGGAAGCAATCGCGAAAAGAAGAGAACAAATCTCTAATGAAAAATTAAACAGTCTTAAAAAGCGCTATAAATGTAATAAAAAAAAAGAGAGGAAGCAACAAAAAAAGTTGAAGTAAAAATGCTTTAAAATGGCCATAGAAATTCTTTTAGCATTTTGTACATTTTTATTGTGGCTGCCTTTAAGTGCCAAACCACAAACACCACACAGATGAACCAAAAAGTTGAAATTTAAAAACTCAATGTGGAGCAGGAGCCGGCGACCGCTCCACGAGCAGGGGTGCAGAGGGGGGCAGGGGGGTCGTTGCTGCGGTCGACGCCATTTCTGGCATACGGAGATGATGACGAAGACTAGAGCCTGAAGCTGTCTGCGGGGGTATGTGTGGGGGTTGGTCTGACTCACTGCAGCTCAGACAATTTTTGGGGGTTGCGTTCACTTGTGAGTACGTGTGGGTGTATCGCTTTTTTGAGGGGGGGGGGGGGGGGGTTGGTTCTGGCAACGGCCATGAAAGCAAAGCTCGTCTCGTCGCTGCCTAAAATGGCGCGCACTGGTTGCAAGGACAGCATGCAAAATGCAAACGCCTATCGATTTTAGTTTTAACTATCTTACTCTGTCTCACTTCCTCTCTCACACACACTCTCTCTCTCTCTCTTTCTGTGTCGTTGCAGGCGAGAAACCGCACAAGTGTCAGGTGTGCGGCAAGGCGTTCAGCCAGAGCTCCAACCTGATAACGCACTCCCGCAAGCACACCGGCTACAAGCCCTTCTCCTGCAAGCTATGCCACAAGTCCTTCCAGCGCAAAGTGGATCTGCGACGCCACAAGGAGACACAGCACACAGATCTGCGCGTTCACCTGGGCAAGGTGGACTTCATGTCCGCCGCGGGCGCAGCTGCCGAACTGGTCGCCGGACCCGGACCCTGACCCGGACCGGGCATCGGCCTGCCCATTGGCGCCGCCTCAACGCAGACGGCGCCGTCAGCTCCAGTGAATGCCTCTACGCCGGTTAGCTCGATGAATTGCCAGAAGGTCTCGCTGCTGGCATAACAGCAACATCTGCAGCAGCGGGAGCCAGCGCCAGTTGCATTACCAGATCCAGTCCCAATTAATCGGAACCATTGTGCAATAGCTGCCGATACAAATGGACGCCGGCATGCTTTTCCATTTGTCGTTAATACAATTTGAATAGATTAAGCCGAGAAGCGAAAGAAATTTCCAGTGTTGCCAAACATAAATAGATGCATACCATATACTAAATACATTATACCAAAGAGAAACAGTTAAACCAAAATAAAAACCAAATCTTAAGCTCTCTCTCTCTCTAATTCTCAGCGCACAGCAAAACCAAAAAAAAAATATTTAAAAAAAATACAACACACATTCTCAAAATTAAAAAAAAATAAATAAATAAAAATTCCAAAAAAATTGTTTTTTGTAAATTAAATATATATATGCATATTCGATATGTCTGTGTGTGTGTTTGTATGATTGTATTTGGATTAATTTACATGAAATTTACTGAACAAGAAATATATATATAAATGTATGTATATCTCCTTAGCTGCTACACATTAAATATTTAAATAAAACCACAAAAAGAAAAACGTAAATCAAATCAAAAACAAAGCCATGAATCGTGCGTGTACTAATTGTAAAATGTAATTAAATAAAAAAAACCAAATACTAAAAATGAAGAAAAGAAGAAAACAATTAAGAATAAATGTTCCAAATTTTCGCTTCTAGATAGTTGTGAAATTTTAAACGCTATTTTGATATTATATCATTCCAATGAATTTAGTCTAATTAATAAATTTTTAACTTATTTATGCATATGTGTATGTATGTATGTAAAAACAAATGCTAAATAAATATATTTTCATTTTAATGTTCAAGATATATAAAATAAAAACATCATATAAATCTAACATACATTTTAAGTATTTTTATGTTTTCCAATAAATTAAATTTATTAAGCAATTAAAACTACATAATATCGAATTGTTTATTTTATTTTCGTTTTGGGAATTGATGGATGGAAAAGAAGAAATGCTGAATTAGTAACTGAAGCTGGTCATTGAAAGGGAAAAACCATTTTAAATTCTTTTTAATGAAAATTTGATTTATTTTGGATATTTAGAATAAAGGATATTGAAGAGAGTGAAAAAGGTCAAACGAAATGTAGGAGGATTTATCCTCAGCTGGGATTGTAATAGCTCTCTATCGCTGCTTAATTAAAAAAATCCAAAAAAAATATATACATATATAGATATAAAAAACCCCATTTCTTGCAATAATTTTCATAACATTATTTATCATTTAAATTTCCTTTAATAATTATTTGTTACCACTAAAGCAATTGAAAAAAAACTTTATGTACTTATAATTTATAAATAAATTCAGCACAAAAGTTTTTTTTTAATATGCTACACTCAGATAAGAAGCTTACGAGCAAACTTTTTTCCAGAGACTTTTATATATATTAAAATTAATATATGTTTTTTTATCAAAATGTTTGATTAGCTTTGACGAAGTCAGGGGTTCAAAAATGACATTTGGTTTAGTGATATTTTAGTTTAAATTCGTTGCAAAATATATTAGAGAATATTTTATTTTTTGAAAGAATCTCTTTAGGTATATAGAGATGTTTTCTTCCATTATACAAACTGTAGTTAAAAAACAACCGCTCCCAAGCAGGGCTTATCAATGTTTAGTTGATAAGAATTGCAAGTCAAACTGGCAGTGAAAGGGGTTAGATATTTATAAGTGCGAATCCTTCTTTTCGCATTCATGACACCTGCCTGGCAGCTGACAATTCCTTTGTCCAAGGATGTGACAGTCTGTTGCGAATTGAAATTGTTCGTGAGCACAAATAAGAATGTCCAATGCCGAATACTCGTTGAATATGCAAACTCCCAACATGCGAGCATATGATTAAAGAGTCCTAAGTAGAAGGCAGCCGTGTGAATACTTCTCGTATTCCCCAAAGTGTCCAACGACCGGTATTGAATATCACGTACGAGACGAGGGCAAATGTTGGTGCCGTGTCGCACTCGTTCTAAACAAATTTGACAATAAAAAATAATAATCCTGAATGCTGGGCAAAGAGACGCCTTTCCCCGTATATATACACTTGCACAAATTCCCAAGTCTGCAATTTGGTGGAGCAACTTGTCTACTTTGCAAATGGAGTCGAAGCGAAACCAATTTCATCAATAAAAAATATTTGTCTACCTGGCAACACGTGTAGGAAAGGACACAGTTTGCTATTTTTTGCTATTTTTCTATACCCTGTAATCATGAAATGAACACGGCGGGTATGATAGAATAACGAACATGTCTGGAACAGCATCAGGGACTACTTTATTGAAAATTCCATTTTGTTAAAAGTAAATCTATTTTATTTGCATATATCTTATGTTCTATTTTCTTTAAGTGGCCCGCAACTTGGTAGTATAAAATATTCCTAGCATTCAGTTAAAACACACTCAAAAAAAAATACTTTTTACTTAACAAAATGTACTTTAAAAAAACTTAAACTTCAAAAAATTATACTTCAATGTGCTTAAGATTTCCTTTGCTATTTTTGATAGATTGCCAGCAGACGTATTCGTGAACAAGTTGAAAAAAGGAGCAGATATAATTTTCATATATAAACTTAATTTCCTTGTAATATCAATCATTTTTTTAAATATACCGAAAAGTGTACGGAAATGTCAATTTTAGAAAAGATCTGGCAACGCAAATGTGGTCAAAGTCAGCACAATAAATGCGGAAAGATAAAATATAATATAAATAAATATAAAATTGTGCTGGTTTAAACTACATGAGAAAGAGAACAGACGAAACCACAGGGTATTTCGTAGTCAATCACTCACGACTCACTCAAGACTCTAAAAAATTCTTATATGTACATTAGTAGGAAAGAGTATGGCAGAGCTCAAAGCAAGCCACAGGGTATTTCGTAGTCGATCACTCACGACTCAAGCATTTGTACTTCTTATTCATATGCTTGGCAAATGACAATTTCAGTTTTATCGAATCGAGCCAAATGGAAGCGAACCGTCTGCACAGTGGAAAACTCTTGCGCTGTGAACTCATGAAAATGCTTGAACCAGCAGCATTTGGTAGGTTTGATAGATTTATGCATATGTCATCGAGAATTAGAGACTTGGCGCAACTCATTACCCGCAATTACCGCAGCAGCAGTAAAAATTGATTGTAAGTTGGGTAGCCAAGCCGAGCCAAGCAAATCGAACGTTTAATTTATGCAATGATCGATAACATCCTGCGATTTAATGAACAAACGCTTGCCGAACTGCGAAAGCAAAGCCCAAAGAGTCGTTGACCGGGCGTAGGTGATCATAAAACGTTATATGATCAATCAATCTTAAATGATCCCAAGTCACAAATTGACCGCGGAGAAATCAGCAACTTCCGTCCAAGTTCTCTGTTTGCCTTTGCTTGCTTGATTCAGCGAACCTCACACAGAATCCACATAGAAGATCTACAAGATCTAAATAGTTGGATCGTAACTATGTTTTACGAACTATAAAACAAAAAGCCTTAAGTAATGCCGTTGCTATGCGGGCTCTTTGAAAGAATTAAGCGCAATTAGCGAAGGTACTTGGAGTTGGGATTGGGGTTGGGGTTGGGCTTAGCCGGGGCAGGATCAGCGATCGATGCGGAACCTCAACACGCAACATGCATGATTTAGGGTCCGCCTCATGTTTTTAAAGTCATTGTCAAAGATCGTGTAATGGGCGCAACATCTGCACCATTATACGGCCATACATCGCGTTCTTAATGCGAATTTATTGCCGCCATCATTATGGCGCCCAGACATGAAGATCATTCGAAGAGATGACTCAAGACTTTTCAACAACTTTGCACCCTTTTTGGTATTAAATTCTGCTGGCACACCGATCCGAGCGTAGCTGAAGATAAGACAATGGATCTTAATTAAATTTTATTGTGGAAATAAGTGTTAATAATCCTAAATTGTCGTGCAAGGTATGTGCGAGTGTAATAAGCATTATAACAGCCATCAGATCCGTATGAGTAGCATGAAGTTCAAATGCCGAGAGTTTAATTCAACCCGTTCTTTGTTTAACAAGGCAAAATGAACACCGAAAACTACTCGAAAAATGTGTGAAATTATTATTTTTAAATATTCATTGGATTTGGATCAAAACTTTCCTTTAATATTTTTATCAATATTACTATTATTATTATTATAATTACAATTGTTACTACTTATTATAATAATTATTTGTTTGGCTGGCTCGAGGTCCGCGGATTTTATTCAAGACAAAAATTAAAAAACGCACATTTTTTAGTTCAGCCAAACAAATAATTATAAAACGAAAAGGTCGCCAAATCAAGCAATAATTATTCATATTTTTTTATCTTGAAAATAACTTAGTTTAAATATAAATATTTCAAACATTTCATGTGCACTAAAATAAATGTTTGAAAATTATATGACTTAATTCCTTTAATAATTTGTTAGACATATTTAATTGTTTATATATATTTTTTTTTATAATTAATGTTAATTTTGGCGACCTTTTCACTTTTTTTTTATCGAGGTCCAGCTAAATAAATATTTATAATTTTTAAATTTTGTATATTTGTATATATTACAAATTTTAAAACATTATCTAATTTTTCGAAGAATATAAAATAGTTCGTTAGTCAACACACTGCGCCAGCCAGTGTTGTGCAACTGCGAACAGGTATAATGCATCCCGTTCAATCATAAAAGTTCAAAAATATTTAAAAATCCAAAAATCCAAAATCTAAACAATTTGTTGAATATAAACCTAAATAATGCTACATATTTTCGGTAAGTAAATTCTTTCTACCAATCTATATATTTTTTCCATAGAAATCAGTTAAGGATATTGTGACCTGTGTGAGAAGTCAATGGAACTACTATTTATTTATGATTACGATTTGCAACATTATCCAAGCTCTTGACCGTTGCACAATGCTGAATGTTTGTCAAGCATATCCTTGCTAGTTTTTATTGTGCCGTGGACATGGCGGAAGCGTCGCAGTTGTGACATATTCCAGGCACTTAATGACAATTGCATTTTTATTACACAAACAGTCGACGAAATGTTTGTTAATGGTCCACGCATAAAGGCATCATGACCTCCATGGCAATCAGCTGCAGCTTAAATTGATTTCACTCCCATCTATGCGTATCTGTGTATCTTTGTATCTATGTATCTGGGTGTCTGTAAATGTTGTTACAGTGCATGCGCTGCACCTGCTGACAATTTCAAGTGCATGCCAAAGAAAGAACAACACGCACAACTGGGGAGATTTGTAATGTGCCTCAGCTACTGACCCTGCCTCTGTCCCTTCCCCTGCCCCGGCCGAAGCCACCCTCCTGCTAACCACATCGAACCGCAATAGTAATTTACGGATGCGCAACATCAGGCAGCTTCCCAAACTAATCGCACGCCCAGCGGGCAAACACAGACGAAGAAGTGTCAACGACTCGCGGTGGTTGTTGTTGTTGTTGTTGTTTTTGTTGCCCGGGTAGTTCAGTTGCCAATTGCACGTCTCAATTGTTGCAATACTGTTGCCAATACAATACGGATGCGGATGCGGAGTCCTGCTGCGTGATTACACAAGAACAAAGTGGCACTGGCTGTGCCCGGTTCCAGTTCCAAATGCCAAACAAACAAACGCCATGCATACGCACCCCTGCGACCCGGCAATCCCTCTGGACTAATTCAAGTGTAACCCCTTGTTATATCCTGCTGCACCCCGCACGCCTCGAGCCGCCGCCAGCGAAAAGCACAACGCCCAAAAATTGAGCAGTTAAATATTTTGGTGTCATAAGTCGGCATTACGCATCCTTTTCACCCCACGTCCTTGGCGAACGCCTTGGCTCTGAATCAGATGAGGTCGAGTGGAAATTGATTTAAAGCCCGCAATGTTTATCCATTATTACAGCAGACTTATGATTGTTTTTAAAAATTAAAATAACCTTACCGGACTGTACAACATTCAAATTGTTTACACTATACTACACTTACTATACTATACTATTCTATACTATACTATAATATACTATATTATGCTATATTATACTGTACTATCCTATACTTTCCTATACTATACTATACTATACTTTACTATACTATCCTATATTATACCATACTATACTATACTTTACTATATTATCCGATACTATACCATACTATACTATACCATACTATACCATACCATACTATATTATACTATTCTATACTATACTATACTGTACCATGCTATACTATACTATAATATACTTTTCTAAATTATTTATTTTACTGTTTAATTTTTGTGAGTAGATGAAAATAGATATTTATAGCTGAAGTCCTCTTTGAAGGATTAAGTTTTAGTAATTAAAAGAAACTCTTCCTGAAGCTATCTCTGGTTGATACGAGCATATTCCTAAATATACCAAATATATTTCCCATCCGCGAAAAACTGTCAACTACAAAGCCTAGGCGGAATATAAAATTGAGAAATGGAATCGCAAAATGTTGTTTGGACTCCAAATATATATGTGGCTATTAAATTTACATAATTCATTTAATCATCTTAAATCACGCATCATTATAAGTTTTTAATTTTCAGTACTCCTAAGGATACTCGCCAGGTCTTATGTGTATCATTAGGCTAAGTCTGGCGCTATATATTTCGGCTTTAATTAAAAAAGTGAATTAATTTCGTATTCGTGATTTATTTGTCTCTTGATTTGCGTCTGGAGCCCGATGAGTTATTGCCGCAAATCACGTAGTAGGTAAAAGCTGCAGGCAGACAAAACTATGAATAAAAGACGATAGGACGGAGGAGGAGGAGGACAAGGACGAGCACTGCTGCTGCTGCTGCGAACCTGTTTATTAGTCCTCTAATGCACAATAATGCTTAGTGCCAAGGGTAGAAAATTACTCGGCTCCTCGGGGGAATACTTACCAGGCTGGCAGCCAAATGTGACCTTTGTGCCATGGTCGGAGTTACAGCCGCAGCCTACGCTCTGATATTGAATTACGGGGCACGTCTCGACTTTCAGTACACAATGGCCCCTGGACCAGACCAGACCAGGCCAGATCCTGCCAGCCATTGAAGTTAATTTGTGCCTCGACACTGGAATTGCTGCTGACATTTTTACATAAAGCGTAGCGCATAAATCACATTTGCCCATTGCCACCAAGCAATCTGAGTTTTCGGTTCTATTCGTAAGCCTCACACTCGATTCGCACTCGATGGCACCCACTTACATTTTGATTTAGTTCGGTTTCTGATTGAAAGTGTTGAAATATGAAACACCCAATGAGATTATGAACTAGTCTTCTCATATTAGCACAAATGGCCACAATTTGCAACCAACTGCAAACACAATCCTTGGCTTCTAAAGCCGCATTGAATTACAAATGACATTTGCGGCGTGCGCAGTTGGCTAATTGACAAGGCAGGCAGCATGGTTATATACATAAAGAAATTTATAAAATATTTAAAATTTTAACTGGTTTTTTTGTCAGCTTCCTTCCCTATCTCCCTTTCAAAGTTTTAACTTGTTGAGAATTGCAAGCGAAGAGAATTCGTCAAGAAACGAATAGAAATAAAAGCACTTAAATCGTTTGTTTTTCAATATATTTATCGGGTACTTTAAGGGATTTGCTATACTATATATGTAGTAGAAGTCGGTAGAAGTCGATTCAAAGATTTTTTGGGCGATGCATAGCTTTTTGAAAAATATGTACGCATGTTTGTTTTGTATATATGCAAAAATGCGTGCATGAGTAAATGTATGAATACAAGCACGGATACATACATACGTAAATACATACATACATACATACATACATGCATACATACATACATACATACATACATACATACATACATACATACATACATACATACATACATACATACATACATACATACATACATACATACATACATACATACATACATGCATACATACATACATACATATGTACATACATACATACATACATACATACATACATACATACATACATACATACATACATACGTACATACATGCATACATACATACATACATATGTACATACATACATACATACATACATACATACATACATACATACATACATACATACATACATACATACATACATACATACATACATACATACATACATACATACATACATACATACATACATACATACATACATACATACATACATACATACATACATACATACATACATACATACATACATACATACATACATACATACATACATACATACATACATACATACATACATACATACATACATACATACATACATACATACATACATACATACATACATACATACATACATACATACATACATACATACATACATACATACATACATACATACATACAAACATACAAACATACAAACATACAAACATACAAACATACATACATACAAACATACAAACATACATACAAACATACATACATACATACATACATACATGCATACATACATACCCGCTCCACATCCTCCCGCTCCACATCCTCCTGCTCCACCGCCTCAAGTTGCTCCTCCACCGGCCGTTGAAGCCAACGTTCCCTGCCTTGTTGAATTTCAGAAGGGCCTACTTAAATTGTTGAGAATCGAGGAGAAGAGCATTTAATAATGCGTTTATTTTAAATTTGCAGCGCAGTGCTATCAAACTTAGACTGTGTTAGTCTGAAGATAACATTCATGTGTACGTACGTACATACACATACATACATGCATTCGTACATACACACATACACACATACATACATATACACTTCCACATACATGCACACATACTCCACAATTAAGAACATTTTGACGCTATTTCTCAACTTAACCCAAGACTAACATGTTTTATATAATATTAGAATAATCTGAAATTTGGTGAGACATCTTGATAAACAAAAATTTCGATCTTCAACTGTTTGATCCCTTATATAGATCCTACATAGTCGATTAATCCTTTTGGTAAAAGTGCATAATACAGCTTGTCATTGGGGTTAATATATCTTAAGAAGTTACATTGTATATATTACAGAAACGGTAGTTTATGTCAATGATTTCTTTTTTTTGACAGCTATAATTTAAATTGTATAAGAATTTTTAAATTTTTTATAAATATGCTTTATAAGGTCGCAGATGTCTCCCTTAAATTACGTGACAAAATTGTCTTACCCCCTGCAAGTGCACAATGACTGAAATTTGATATTATTTTCATGGTTCAGAAGTTCATTTAAATTAAATTTAAATTATAAAATATAATATTTTTTTATTTTAATTTCAATACGAGCGAATGCCGAAGCAACATGCTGCATAGCACTTCCCGCCCAAGCGACCGTATAACGTATGACACAGGGAATAAAGACTAAGTATTTGGGCCAAGACTATATACTAGCTAAATAGTTTAGAATAGAAGAATTTATTCGAGGAAGAGAAGACTCCGAGGAGAATGCTCTTGTTGTATGCAATACTAGTTAATGGTTAATTCAAGACATAGTTTGTTGGACAAATCAAGCTCTCACGATCAACAGAAATCTTTTTCATTAACAATCCAAATATTACAAACTTTTGACTGAGCACAAAATTAATGTAATATTTTTCATGTTAACTTAAACAATGTCAAGTAGTTTTGCAGTACCTGCCATATTTATTTTGATTTAGAATCTATCTCTATATAAATGTTTCCCACATGACGCGGCATAGTTAGCAAACCTATATCCGCATTTGAATGAAGAAATCTCGTTAATTTGGACGGGTCGAACGAACAAGTGCCTTCCATTAACGGCGTTACGCCGGCCAGAAATCAAACAAAGTCATAAAAATTTGACACTCGAAAAGCTTCCCACAATCCGCACGCGTCAAGTGGAAGTCGCCGTTCAGGTTCAAGCCCGCGTGCCCCGGCTACCCGGCTACTCGGGCATATGCAATCGGATATTGGTGCAACCAGTTGCCACTCTGGTGGTGGCTGGTGCCGGAAAAAGGGGCGCGACAAGTTGCCAGCGTGTTGCATGGTGGGGTGGTGCGCTGATAACCGGATGATGATTGCGATGGAAATGGATTGCGACTGGCATGGGAATGGCCAGAGCCGGGGCTAATCAGAGTGCGTCGACGGCGCACGTGGCGCAGCAAAAAGGCAAATGGAGTTGGCGAAGATTCCCATGAAATGATTGCAAAGATTTTTTTTTTTAAAAGTATGTTTATGATTAGTTATTATATATGCGAGCAAGTGCAGCGCCGGAGTCTGGCTAAATGCCGATGAGATTTGTTGAGCATACGCACGGGGATTTGCCTGGCCGTATTGGCCAGGACATGCGATGTCCTTTGTATCATCCTGTCATCCCCCGCTTTGCCGCACAATTAAATATAAACTTGAATGTGTTTTTGCACTAAGTGAATTTGCTGTCATAATTTGCTAAAATTTAATTAAAACTATTAAGGAAACGAACATTTGCGGCTGCCAAACTTTAAATGCCAAACTCGTCCGACAATTGCCAAAAACTTTTTACATAATTGCTTTAAATTAGTTGTTACTGTCCGTGCCGGATACGCCCCCGTATCCGGGTTCTGTGTGCCTGGCTAACCGCAAGCTAAACAAATGTTAAGTGCCCCGTGCCACCGGGCAGAGCAGCAGACGAGAAGTTGTCAACCGAAAACAAACCATTAAGTGGGTCCAAAACACTCTTCGGTTTTCCAGAGCTCCTTAAATTAGCGTCCGGGCTGGAGGCTTACTGCCAAATCTCATGTCATATTGTCTCGTGTTTATGGTCCACACCAATTGTAAAGCCCAACTGTGCAGCAGATTCTGTCCAAGCAACCCTTAAACGCACTTATATACCCTCACCCAGGACACAACTATTAACAACTGGGGAAAACTTATGGGCGTAGAACGTTTCTCAAGTCTCAGTTAAAACGCTGAGGAAGTCTTTCCTACATTTTTCTATTGTAAATATTAAAATATTATGATATATGGTGATATATGATTTTGATCCATAATTCCACAAACTTCGTACCTTTTTAAAAATTAATAATAAATAATATGTTTTTACTAAAGCATCTGTATCGACTGACTCGCATTCCGAAGGCCATAGATTCCAGGATATTCCTTGACTTACGAAAATAATAATAGGTATTATCTGATGGGGAAGCAAAGCAACTAAACGTGTGCTCTTTATAACTAGTTTTCTGTACTTGCTAAACCTGCAGTAAGTATTTATTATCTGTGCCAACAGTTTTTAATTGCACATAATTTAAAGAAAATACTTGTCAAGATCAATGAGACATGCTGAGGCCAACTCTTGCAACTTTCATGCGAGTCATGACAGCCGTTTAAAGAGGCGCTCAGGTGTATAACTAATCCAAGTTGAAATCAATGTTAAATAAATTATGCTCAACTATTTAGCAATAAATTAATCTTCATAAATCACAAATCAACAACGTCGACAACTCGCTTCAGGCTGGGAGGCGAACACCTTGGAGAGCGCCCCATAACACTGCACTACATTAAATTAGAAACGAGCCGTCCTCAAGATTCCGTATAATGACAAAAGCAATTAATTTTGTGCCATCCACAAATGCCAGCCACGACGAGCGCAAGGTGTGTGTGCGTAAAGGGGTTAAACATACCCCTTAACACCCCCCCCCCTCCACCCTTCACCATTTTCCCACCTGATTACGTTCACAAATCGCTACAGAGGCACACCCATGCAGGGCGGCCATATCAATGCCATGTCCTCCATGCCCAAACCCCGTATATGCGCTCCCAACACACAATCAAAATTCCAGAGCACGGCTACGACCAGGTTGGCGCGTTGTACTTGGTCTGTAAGCTCCAGGAAGCGCTCCCCAGGCTTTGCAATTAATTATGCGAATCTGACGAATCTTCCTAAGCGAACAACTCTTCGACTCACCTCACACTCACACACACACACTGGTACACACACACACACACAACTGTTTGCTGTCAACTGCTCTGGCATCATGATTTACATGGAAGTTCAGGGAAGCGAAAATTTTGGGCTGAGCTGCGAGAGAGTTGAAATGTGCTTCAGCTTTGGGGTTTCGATGTGGTGCGGCTTTTGGATGGAGGGTAAATGCAAATTTAAAGGCGTGAATAAGCCAAGGCAGACTCTAATTGTAGACAACCCCCGTAATTATCCGCAATGGAAATGCCATTAATGGCATTAAGGGATTCAGATCCATTTTTAAATAGCCTAGCCTAAGGTTACATAGATTCTTTTGCAAAGCCTATCAAAATGCTCAATAATATTTCTGGAAAACAAAAATCGGATAAAATTTTATCACACATATATACATACAGCCAGTTTAGGGCCAGGGAATCAGGAAGATGGCAATTGAAAATCGTTGTAAATTAGTTTAAATAACACAATACAATTATTCAATAAGAAAACACAATGTTTTCCAATAA